AAAAGGGCAATTGAAATAAACTTCAAATAAAAAACGAATGAGAGAGGACTGAGGAATAAACAACCAGATTTTGAAAAGTCCCCTTTTCTTTGCCCTAAAACTTTAAATTATCAATCCTTAAGTGAAGAAAAATTTCAAGTGATCTCACAAATTCGCATGAATCATAATTTTTGACACGAACCTTTTAATCCTCCACAATGAATGTTTACATTACCTAAAATGAACATCGAATGATTTGTTAAATGAGAACAGCTTAAATGTGAATTTAAGAATTTTTGCGCGACCTTGAAAGATTTTCTAAGAATTTTTTGACGTTCCCTAGTCATTGTATCGATCAGTCTTTTAAAAATTTATCATTTATGCTGGTCTATAATTTAATAAAATGAATAGTAAGGGAAGAGGTTTCCTAGGTTTTTCTAAAGGAACATCAAGGTTAAAAAACCCTATTTCCTCAAAATCTTAAATACAAACAGACTTCATTCTTTATTTCAAAGAAAATAATATGAGATTATGCGGAAGATAGTAGGATAAAGAAAAGCATATAGAACAACACCTAAAGCACTTTGTTTGGCCTACAATGATACATATGAGACGTACAGTCTTCAAAGCAAAGATATGGGAATATAAGCAATGAGACCAATTTCACTGCGGAGAACCTTCCATCTCTTCATTGTGTACAACTTGCTCGGTCTGTACAACACCACTGGCGCCACTAGCCAAACATTCCAAGGTTCTCGTCAGCTCATCATTCTGTTCCTCATTATGGCGTGGAATCGTTTTATATTCGCGGAAGCATTCTTCAGTGAGTTTTTCAATTCGTTCTGCTTCCGCTGGGGTTCTAAAAATAAACTACTGGAGTAGAATCAAATCTACTGCAAAAGGTGAGAAGGCAATTTCTGTCAAGAGGTGACCCTTAGAGAGAAGATGACGCTAAATTTTAATCGAGAGCACTACCACTATACTCTGCCAAAATAAAACCCAACTCACAGCAAATCCGTGAATTCGTAGTGCTTCTCTCCATCTATGGCTGCATGCTTCAACATATGTCGAATGATTGTATTTCGATGTACAGTCGCGTAACCACAAGGACAAGCATATCTACAACTTTTACAGTCATAAAACCAATGAAATAAATATTTCCAAAAAAAAAAGAATAAACCTCTCAATGCCTGAATGCACTACTGCAGCATGATGTCGAAGATTACATCGTCGCATAGTTATGTGTTTTCCGCAAATCTAGAAAAAAAAACTCGGGAGCGAAGATAAATTTACTGAAATACCACGATTAAAAGCAACATAAAAGAAGAAAACAACTATTGACAAATAAATATGAAACGATATGGGCTGTTTAGATAAACAAAAAAAGAAACTCTAAATTATTTAAGCTATAATTTCTGATTGCTAAGTAAAGAAAGGTAAAACGTAAGATTTTCTTACCTGACAAGCAACTTCTCGCAATTTCTCCTTTTTCTCGATAACTTCCTCCTGTTTTGGAAGGACTATTGGGCCCTGGGCAGGCTGAAACATTTAGGTAATGATCATACATCACCTAACATTATTTTTTATTGAAAATGTTCCCTACCGCATTTTGGTGAGTCCATGGACGTTTAATTCCCCGGGATGTTCCTTCAGAAGCAAACATTTGATGAGCACGCGATTCTAGGGTTGAGGCTGTTTGATAGTTATCCAGATAGGGAGATGCTGCACATAGCAGATCGGAATGCATTGACTAAAAACAGACAATTGAGGAAAAAAGAAATTAAAAATTGAATAAATGAATGGAGAGATGAATAAACTGAATAATTGGATGA